TGGTGCGGCTACGCCGCGTCGTTCAGAAACCATTTGGGAAAAGCCCTCGGGGGTTCAATTTACCCCCCCCCCCAATCCCCCACCCAAGCGCGTGTTAATGTATTCTGTTTCACTTTAAGGGCCTAAGATGTTAAAAAACGAAATGGTTTTGTCAGGTTCCTGATATTACGTCCATGTCAACTTGAAGTAGATGTCTTTGCTTTTGCTCAAGCACCAGTCACGAGCCGACAAATTCCTTTTTTTTAATTGATTTTTTCACTCTCGCATGGTCCTTATGCGACGGAATTTTTCACTCTCACCCCAGTTCAAAACAGTGTCCTAAAACTGCCGACTTTGGGTGTAAAGCAACACCCTATGAGGAGGAATTTTTCACTCCTTTTCCCCATATTTTATGTGAATTTTTCACTCCAGGGACACCTATGGCTATGTCCTGCCTAACTTACATCTGAATCATGTCTATCTGTGCACAGAGCAAGAGCGCCAGGTACCGCCAAGCCCAAGTACCCCAGCGACCCCAGCCGCTTGCACGCATTAAGTTTGGTTTGTTTACGAAATGTATCACAATCGGCAGCTGTGCACCAAATGCAAGGTTCTCACGCATCCCCTATTTTTTTTTTTTTTTGTCTCACCGCCACACCACGGAAACAGAGCCTGGTGCAAACACCAGCAAGGCCTGGTAGCGAATTTTACTCCACGTACTTCTTTTTCCCGAGGAAACTTGACCACTAAGTGCATCACTCCCGAAATACGTGAGTGAAAAGTTCAAGAAATGTTTTTTAAATTATGCTTACAAGATAAAATTTTGCGAAAAAGTACCAGTCTTTATATTTATTTACCTACCCTTGTTTTTATTGATATCATACCAGTGTGATACCACTTTGTTCTTTCTTCCTTTTCGATTGCCTTTAGAGATACCATCTGCTGCTTAAAATGTTGACCAATTTCTCTGCAAGATGCTTCAACTGCAAGCTTGTGTGCTGGTGTGCAACTGTGTGCTTTGAGCGACGCAGGACTGAATGTGCGAGCGTTCGTGGCCAATGGGCTCCAAGCCAACCTGTCCATGTTCGGCCACTTGGGTGTTCAGAACCTGCAGCCAAAGCAACTTTAGCTTCCCATCGTTCCTTACTACTTCCTGCATCCTGCAACCAAGCAGAAGGTGTATGTTCTGCTGGATGTGGTACACATGCTGAAACTGCTACGAAATCTCCTTGGTGAATACAAGAGCCTGCAACTGGATGGCGAAGAGGTATCCTGGAGGTATGTTGAGGTAAGAGTATGTCAAATTTAGTAGTAACAGTAATCATAAATAATTTAATAGCAATTCAGCCCCAGCAAAACCAAGCATAACACTACAAGACTACTTTTTACTTAAGTATCACTGCCTTTTTGCACACATCTATCCCATCATCTGTGTAGTTCGCGTCTAGCTGCATGGGTAGAGATTTGAGAGACTTAACTTAATCTGAGAGGACGGCGACACTCTTACACTAATGACTGAACCTGTTCAACCCGTTTTCAGTATTCTGCAGCCAAGGTAACATATCCATTGTGGATACCTTCACAGGCGCCGTAAGACTTGCGGCACAGCGAGGGTATCCGGGTGGCCAACAAACTTTCTCGCCTGCACGCCCAGAACGAAAAAAAGAAAATTAAACTTGCTGGCCGGCTGTTCAGCAGCTCGGTAGGCAAAGCTGTGCTGTACCTAGAAGAGTCGGGACACCATGAGTTCATCGGAGCGGGGGCAGCGGCGCGCTTCATCCTGCTTGTTGATCAGACATTCGACTGCCTCAACAGCAGCAACCCCTACGGTATAGACTTCAAGACTCCTGTAGCTGCCGACAACTTGACGTGAGTTGAATTAATTAGCATTAAGAACAACCTGAAAAATCCAGTGTGTGTTTTTTTCCCGTAAGGAAATGTAATAGCATTGCCAAATACCAGCTATCACATAAACGGCATCAACAAACATGCTAGTGAAATGTTCTTTGAAAATGGCGTTGGCATATGGCGTGATGTGCTTTTGTGTTTGATCGTACGTTATGCCCATAGGCAGATCAAGCTATGGTAGCAAAATGTCCCACAGTGAAATGTGGGCCAAAAGTAAGCCTTTTCTCCCTGCAGCTGGCCACGTATGTCATATGCTCCCCCACCCCCACCCCATCCTCCTCAATCACCAGGCGAAACTGGCCATTCAGGTATGGATGGTCAACCCCCCCCCCCCCCCCCCCCCCCCCGGTCGCCGATCAAGAACGCGTGAACTGTCCGCTCCCCTGCAAACAAAATGTAACGACTGGGCGACCTCTCGTTGTCAGCAATTCATTTTGAACATTATATTGTGAGGGCAGTTTGTGGCCAAACAATTGCCTAAGTAAAGGCTATAGATGTCTCTGTTATTTATTTTTTAGTGTGCTGACTGATTATTACTTCCGCTAGGCTCCGACATGAGTTTCTGGCCGACTTCAGTTCCATGCTGTTCCGGCTACAGACAGCATCAGGCGAAACGGTACTGCAGACGCGACGGCTCACCCCGGCCCTGGGTCTCTGTCTCGCGACGCAGACCGCCATGGACGTCAGTGAGGCCCTGCTTGAGGAGGGGTTCGTGTATGTGCTGTCATACAAACGTCCCAAGACCATCTAGAGCTGCTGTTCGGCCGGATCCGACGTATGGGCGGCTTCAACAACAACCCAAACGTGGCCCAACTGCGAGATGTCATGCGCAGACTTATACTGCACAACTTCATATCGCCATCTGCCACCGGGAGCTGCATGTCACGGGATGACGGTGACGACGATCTGCTCCAGATCCGTCGTCCAAAACGGCAGCGGCCGACGCTCAACGAGAGTGACCCCATGCTGGCGGTCGTGCAACACTTCCTCATCACGGAGGACGCCGGCTGGGAGTTCGTTGACAACTGTGTTGGCTACATCTCCGGCTATGTGTGCCGCAAGCTAGTGGAAACGAGCGCGATCGGGTGTGGTGAGTGCATTGGTGCGCTTCTGTGCAACGAGGACGACCCTCCGTCGCGTGAAGTGATGGGTCTCGTAAAAGTGCGGGACAACGGCGGGCTGCTCATTCTGTCGGCGTCGACGTACGCGATCGTTACAGCAGCTGTGCGGCATTTGACCGCTTTGCGTAAGTGTGGTAAGATGAACCGGGCTAAACTGTCGCTGATCATCCAGTGCAGCGTCCTGGCGCAATTAATAGCTGAACGCAGCCACGAACTGTTCCCTGGTGTGCAAGACCACATGTTCGAGCCGCGAGCGGATGAGTGCCATGCTGTGGTATTGGTAAAACAGATCGTGGCCAGGTATCTGCGTGTCCGCCTCCATGCCTACGGACAAAATGCTGCAGTGAGTGGAATGCTCAGTACCCATGTGAGGCACAACCTGTACAAGCAGGTGCTCTTTGCACACCAGTAGTCAAATACATCAGTAAATACCTGTGCTGGTGACCGCAAGCAGATTTACCAGTTACGTGGTTTTGGGGCTGTAAGGTGCGTGGCATGCAAACCCTGTACGTTTACATTGTTAGTATTACTGTGTAGATACTCTGAACAACATGATGTACTATAAATAGTTTTGGGGCTGTAAGGTGTGTCGGAGTGTAAGTCCTGTGCATTAACGTTGTCAATAGTACGGTGTACATACTCTGAATAACATGATATACTATGCACATATTTCGGTGCCTACACAGCTCGCAGGAATACCGAACCGACGGTGCTGGACATAGCTTATTTTCTTGTAACGTACCAAATCGAGACATGAGCTCTGGTCTTATCTGAGTGTGGATGGGGACAGACCTATTACCTCACGCAGATGGAGAGCATACACGCGGTCCATACAAAGGGATAGTCAACCATAGCCTTAACTCCAGCAACCCACCGGAACAGTTACTTCGCCCATAAACAACGACGTAAGAATGTCCTCCGTCTCCCAACAGGCTGATGCAAATGATGACATTGGCGTGATTCGAAGTGCCGCCTGTGAAAAGATTCGCGCTTTCCAACGATTTTGGGATGTCGATCCGACCTGAGAGGACCACAACCGTCGAATACATTTAAAGCTGGATACAGTTGGCTAACATTCACGACAATTATCTTGCTCGGCATTGCTTCTGACTATCTCAATTCGAAGCCACAAGCCAGGAGAGGGTAATACGACTGGCCCGGTCCCTCTGCTCGCTGGAATGCTGCAAAGGACCACATCCGAAACAACTGTTTCCAGCGTTATCGTCATGGCATCTTTTCTGTGTTAGAGGGACCATCTATTTTCTTCTGAAACCAGATATTACCCTGCCTCCCCCCCTACCTCCCTCCCCCCCCCCTTCCCCCCCCCCCCCCACCCCCAACCTCCCCCCTACTTCTGCTACGACGCAAAATCGCAAAATCAGTATGCATAGATCAGTCTGTCAAGCCGCTACCCATGCCCTCAGAGCAAATTTTGCTGTGCTGTATTGCGTAAAATTGATGCCTTAAACAGCCTCCGGAATTTTCAAAGCCATCGCTCCCATCATTTCCTAATCACACGGCTCCGAACGTCGGCCATCCGCCATAGGATTGCCATTGCGAAACTAACTCTTGTCCCTCTCCGCGTGGTGGCGATAGTGTCGCAAGACAGGAATAACCGGCTGGTCGCCGCGCCAGAGAGAGTAGGCTGTCTAGACTTGTAAGCGTCAATGATCCAACCAGCCACCTGGGCGCTATTGAAATGCATTGCAGGCGCATAGCAATTATACGCAAGGATATTAAGAAATCAATGCACGTATCTTAATGAACCTCTGTGCAAATAAGTTATTAGTTTACGCCTTCGCTAAGACGGGGGAGTTTAGAGTTGGCAGGTTTAAAACAGAGTTTAAACAGAGTTAGGACGTATTTGAAGAAAATCAATGCTCTTCAGAGATGCCTGTTTCTTGTGCGTGATGGCGTCTAAACGCGACGCTGACGTCGATGCAAACCTGACACATATTTCACCTGGCACCCGTGGACCGCACGTTTACTCACCGTGTGGGCTCCACGCCGGTCGCGTGGTTGACCTCCAGGCCCACAGCAGCACAGCTAAAAGGACTATCACCAGCCAGAGGTACATCTCCCCGAGCGCATCTGGCGCTTTGTCTCTTGCACGGTTCAAACAGCCGACTGCGTAGCCGGACTATCGTCAACCTCGGCCCCGCCTGGTGACCTTGAAATCGCTGCAGCCGGAGCGACTGTAATCCGGCCGTACAGCACATATGTTGCGTATATGCGTATCCTAGCAACCGTTGCCAGCGGTGTTAGAAATAGTGCTGACCAAAATGGCCCAGCCATTGATGTTCTGGCAAAATGTTTTATCATACTAAATATCACAGGCTACGAGAAATGATTTATATAATCATTTTGTATGTACATTTATATTTGCTGTAGCTCGACAACTAGCTTTCAAAAACAACGAGAAACACGGTTTTGGAGCAGGAAAGCTAAGGCCACTAAAACCTACATTGTCGAGCATACGTTGAATGAAGGCGATGAAAATGCAGCGAAACTTCCTCGAGTATTTTGTGTTTGCTTCTTTCTATCATGTCTATGCCTTCTTCTTTGTAAGTAGTTTGGACGTCAACAGAGCTGTCCAATGGTCACAAGATCGCCACGTGGTCCAGGGGCTTAAGATCGCATTTCGTCGAGGGCCTCGACTTCTCGGGCCGCGGACAAATCGCAGCTGAGCGAACGATCTTACGCCCCGCCCCTTCTCCTTCTCCCACTTCCACCTTACTCTGCCGCAAAGACGTGGATCCCTACAAAATAGCACGTCATGCTGATGAAAATCCCGTGGAATGCAGGCCTACTTGAATAATTTTGGACTAAGCAATATCTTTGATCTCATTTCCAATTTCTGAATCCCTTTTGCCACTCAGTCCACAGATACCAAAGGAAAACATAAAGGCATAGGCACCGAAATGTACTCTTATTAATGTACCTAAGCTACCCACATAGGGAGAGAATGGGCATGTAATGTAACAATAAGAGGAACGGGCATTTATACCCAGATCTAGACCCAGTCGCGTTCATTTAATACATTCAATCCTCGTGTTGTTTACCGGATCCCAGGCTGGTCAATCCTGTACTCCGTGCTTTCCTCAACAAAGTTGGCAAAACTAGAGCTCTGATGGCAATCCATAACCACTAAAAATTATTAGTCATTGCACACGTTCCTGGATATCCCTTCTGAAATCAACGGGAATTAAAGCATGTTAATTATACAGATGCCTACATTGCTAGTTTATTCCATGTCGTAACTTGTAAAAAGAACCACGTAGAACCGAAACCCCGGATGATCCCACGATAAAGCCCAATGCACGGGACCCGAACTGGAGCAGACAGGTCTCGCGCTAGATCAACTGACACCTCCTATCATTTCTAGGAACCCCGTCTGCTGTACTATTTTAATGGCATAGCCTTTAAATGAGATGGTGCACTGTACCGGACGTCATTGACTTCTTATGGCAATGGTACAGTGGTCCTGGTACAATAATCCTGGCTAAACACTCGAAAACCTACAAAATGTGGACGGTGATATGAACGAGATCATCAGCTTCACACCCGAAATGAATGAATTTTTCACTCCCGGACAGTCTTTTTGCGACGGAGTTTTTCGTTCCCAACCTAGTTCAAAAGTGATTCTAGCTCACTGTTTCAAAGCCACCTTTACATTGATGATGTCATTAAAACGTTATACGATCACCGTGATATTACAGCATGTTTTCTGCTTATGGTCAAAAACAGCATGACCACTGATACATCGCAAAAGTGATAATGCGGCACATATGATACAATCCGCGGCAAGTGATTGGCTGTTAGTAAGATTGCGCTGTTGAATGCGTGTCGCGAACGTAAGCGTGACCACTTTCGGGTTGTGCGGCACCCGTCGTCAACGGGGCGTTTTTCCTTATATCTAGGCCACGGTCCAAGGTTATAAAAAAGAACGTCAGTTTGAACAAAATACGGCACCGAAAAAAAAATGGCGCGCTCCCGAAAGTTGGGAAAAGAAGACGAACACTCTGTTTTTCTCCCACTGGCGTTTTTTCTTCTTCTACTCACGTATTTCTTACAGACAGCTCGGTTGCCGCAATTTGCAACGGAACAAAGAATCTCGCACGGGCTTATGGGCTAGCTAGGCATTGTAAAATTGGGGAAACATTACAGCTGTTTCCTGCATATATTTTGCTAAATATTCCACACATATTGCACGACAAATTTAGACCTTGGACAACAAATTGTGTCTCTAAAGTACATCTTTTTGAGCTGCATTGCCATGAACCCCCGTTGGGACTTGGTTTGGAAGGGAGCTCACAGTAAAATGCGGTGTTACGACCGGAAACCTATGCGGAAATTATGAGAAAACATGTGATTTGATAGTCCCGCGAGCTGTGCAAGCATCAAAACACACTTATTTTACAAAAAAGTGTGAACCACGGGCTTGAGATGGGTGTGATTACTGGTGGTGCGTGCCAGTAGCTTGTATGGATCTTGATGTAATGGGGAGTGTGCGTGCGAGATTTTTATTTTTGAGAGAAAACGTTGTTTGGTATTCTCTAAGCCTACTGACCCCCAATAAAATGTGATATATCGATACCCGCCTCTATCTTTATGTTTGTGCTTAAACGGGACAAGGTAGTGATGCTCGTGAACTGAAAGAAACACTAGCGCCTATGTTGTAGGGGTGTACAAAGGCAATTCCCTACTCGAATATGATCTTGCCAACATTTTGAACCTATTGAAGCATTACAGCATGTACTTTTCCACTGGTTCCGGGGCCTCAGCAGGTCGCGTAGAGGTTCGGTTGTCCTGGCTGTGTCCGTCGAGAACGCTCCGAGCTGGTTAACCTGTCCCATGAAGCTCCTGAAGTCTGTGAGGTCTTCTGGAACGGGGAAGTCAGCGATAGCCCGCACTTTACCCTGGTCTGCTTTGTAGCCGTCAGGACTGATGACGTAGCAGCAGAAGTCCAGCGCCTGAGCGGCGAACGTCACCTTCGCCGGGTTCAGGGTGATGCCATGGCTGTCGCATTGCTGAAGAATCTGGGTCACGTGCAGAAGGTGGGTCGAATAGTCGTCATCGTAGGCCAGGATGTCGTCGACTACCTTGTTCGTCTTCGGCAGGCCCGCAAGTGCTGCGTCTCCACGCCGTCCATACTCGTCTCCGGACGAGCAGAGGCCCATGACGGCGCTTTTGAACTTGTAGCGTCCTCAGGGTGTTATAAAACACGTCAGGTCCTGGTCTTCCTCTGCGATCGGGATCTGGAAGTACCCTGACTTCGCTTCCAACTTTGTGAAGTACCGGCTCCCTTGCTCGATTCCGGTGACGACATCGTGAGGCGTGGTGACTGGATGCGCTCCACGTCAAACGTAGAGATTGAATCTGGTCAGATCCACGCACATGCGCACGGAGGTCTTGCCGTGGCTTCGGTCCGTGGACGGCTTCGGCACTGGGACCATCGGGTGGCACCACCCAGTCGGGTGTGCCACGGGCGTGATGACGTCTTGCGCGATCAGATCGTCCAGCTGATGCTTGATGTCGTCTCGCCATGCATGCGGGATGTGTCTGGCGGCTGTCACAGCGTACGGACGAGCGTCTGGCCGTAGATCGATCCGCATTGGACCACCTGACATCTCCCGCAGCGGTGGCTGGGTGCTGAACACTCCCGGGAACGCCTTCTTCAGCATGTCCAGGTGCTGGTCCTTCTGGGCTGGCGTCGGATCCCCGTCGTCTGGTTTCCATCTTGGAAGGGGCGGGCTGACTTCTGCCGCTTGAACGTCCTGAGTCGTCACGGGTGTAGACGTCGTCTCTTCAGCAGTAGTTTGTTCCATCGTTGTTCCTGCGACACCGTAGATCTGTCTCGGGAAGTCAGGCGAGATGATGCCAACGGCAATTGAGTCATGCCATGACAGGAGGGCCGCGTCTAGGCCTGTCACAACTGTCGCGGTGGTCGACGTCTGGCGTCGTCCAATGGTCAACTTGCATTGGAACGTGCCGGTACACTCCAGCTGATGTCCTCCAGCGGCCAGGAGACTGTCGGCCGGCTATGTCAGCTGCGAGGAGTCGATGCCGATCCGCTCTGCTTGTTTGGTGCCGATGACGGAAACTTCGGCACCAGTGTCTAGTGTCCACGGGAGTGATCCTTCACCTCTCTGATGGCTGAGCAGGAGAGACACTTGCGGCGTCTTCTTCGTGGTCACGCCTTGAACGCGCACGTCGTTCACATGGAGGTTGTCGGACGTCTGTCGTCCTCTGTAGTCTGACCGCGTGTTGCTCCGTCTGGCCCGCTTGCAGACTGATGTGTAGTGTCCTTTGATGCCACAGGCACTACACGTCGTGTTTCTGGCTGGGCAAGAGGCCAGCTGCTCCTTGGGGTGCCATGGTCCGGCACAGTAGCCGCATCGCCTCTCGCGGCTATGCGACCGGTTGTCTCGTCGGTAGGCGTCGTCTGTCCTGTAGCTGTCGTCTCGCCTGTAGTTGGCGTCCCGTCTTTCCATGCTGGATCGTCTTCCACAATTGTTTGGGCTGTCCCGTCTTTGTCGGCTGTCTGGGCTGTCCCGTCTGCCTCTGCTGTCTCGGCTCCAGCCACGGCGGTAAGCGGACACGGGGCGAACGTATCTCCCCCGGAGCGCTTCGCTGTTCTGTAGTGCGTTTTCATGCGCTTGACAGATGTTGATTGTCTTCTGCAGCGTCAACGATGACTCGGCGAGAAGAAGTCGCAGCGTTTCTTCACACCGGATGCCGGTTACGATCCTGTCCCTGAGTCTGTCGTCCATACAGTGGGCACAGAAGTCGCAGAATTCTGCCAGTTCCTTCATCGCCATCAGGTAGTCGTCGAACGGCTCTCCATCGGCTTGCGGTCTTGTGTAGAACTCCTTCCTGTCGAGGATGACGCTTCTTTGGCTCCTGAGGTGCTTCTCCATCTCGTCCAGCAGGTTATCTTCTTCAGTGGTGTCGCTCACGTCCAGAGAATAGCTCACGACTCGCGTCCATTCATCGTCGAGGAGTGTCAGTAGCGCCGTTCGTTGCTCTTTGATAGGGAGTGAGTCGAGGCCTGTGAGAAGGTGGTAGCCTTTGTGCTTCTCTCCCCAGGTCGAGAACTCTCTCAGGCTAGCGGAGGCGGCTAGCCGCGGTGCTGGGGTGGCTGACGGCGGAAGGCGAAGTCTGTTGGTCGTGGCTTGTGCAGTCTCGGCGACGGCGTCGTCTACGGGCTCGCCCCCTTGTCTGCCCTGCAAAGTCTGAGTCACAAGATCAGCCATCCGTTGTTCGCGCTGGTTAGCGGCTTCAACTTGGTCTTTCAACAGATTAGTGAGGCTCGCTATAGCAGCGGCAAAATCATTTCCATCTGCCATCGTGTCAAAAGCCGACCGCCTCCACCGGGACTTGAACCCGGCTCCGCCGCGCGATAGCCCGACGCGCTATCCACAAAACCACCAGAAGCCTCGCTGACGCGGCGTACTTTTCATGTCCGTTTCATACTCATTCGGCTTTGACTGGCTTGACTGCAATGCCGTACTTATGCCGAGAGGTACTCGAGGCAAAACATGCAAAACATGACATTCACATGATATTACCTTACCGATCGCGCCATGTCAAGTCCTTGGTTCGTTAGCACACACGATCAAACCAATCAAACGATCTATTCTTCTCCGGACACGCACTTACCGCGCCGACTTGGCGCATCCACACTCATAGACAAGGTTGCCGTAATCGGCACATCGGACGTCAGGATGGGCTGCCCACATGTGACGTCACTGAACCCGAGCACGAATGCCACATATATTTGCAATTTATTCCGGCAGTAGGGGCCAGTCTGCACAGCTCATTAATGCACATGATTGGTATAATTTTACATGATACAGCTTTGAAAAATTGTCTATCCCTTAAGAATTCTGAATTTTGTTTGCCGGCAAGCATTGCTTGTGAGTCATCAATGTCATAGTCACTGCAACTTGTGAGATGCTGGGTGCTGAGAAAGGTGGGAAAGTATTGCCATTGGTTTCTTGGATAGCGTTTAATGATATTTTTCATGAGCCTCGCGTGCACTGGCAGCTTCATCATTTTTTTTTGCATTTCCCTCATCTAACCATAACTACATGCACTTGTCATGTCCCCAGCCTTTTGGAAGGTCAGCGGATTTGCAGTGTCATATCACTGCATGTAATATTTTCTTGTTTTTTCGAGTGAAGCAGGCTGATGGCTACAGCATGTTGCATGGCTGTGGAAGCAAAAGGCACGTTTGCATCTTTGCCACCTATGTTTTATGGATTCCCAAAACCGACTGACCAAGTGATGTCACTTATTTGTTGTGCGCTTTGCTGAAAATGATTTGTTTATTGCATCACGCGTTTTTGGTCAGTCATATGTCAGTTGCGGAGTTAAAGCCAGAATGCACTCTTGACCCATCCTCTCATCATGAAATTTATCATGAAAGCAGCAGGGGTTGCGGTACAGAAACCATGTCATTGGTCATGCCATGCCACAGCACAGCATTCAGGTAGTCCTACAATGATGCTGTTGTCCCCTACCATTGCACAATGCACCACATTGGCTGACTACTCTATGTCAGGCCTATGAGATAACAGTTCATAAATTATGGTAATATTACTTATGATTATGATTATCATATATTTATCAATTCATCATATATCATATCATCTATCATATTTGTCATATACATATTATATATTATCATAAATTATGACTGGCAACAACTGATTTAACAACGCCAAAGGACTATCACCAGCCAGAATGCTGTCACACCACAATGATTACATCAGGGTTAACTAGTAATTGCACACACAATCCCATACAAGAAAAACATTTTTGAAAGCTCAACTTTACCATCTTTACCATAGTATTAATAATGCTTTGGCAATCAATCTATAACAGTGTTAGATATTTATTAATTTTTGCATGCAGCTACATTTCCAGTCACAAATGATAACGAAAGTAGCTACTGCGCACATTACATTATACCAATGTAAGGACTACAGCACTGCCGGTAAGGATAGGTCGACAGTGCAGTTTTGACATTATTAACAGTCCATGGTAGGCTTCAGCAAGAGATTCATGACACTATAGGACAGCTTTCACGCCATATCGTGCTTTAATAATAATAATCTGCCATAAAAGCTGGCGATCGCTATGTTGCGTATGTCAAACAGTTCACCAAAGCTTTACAACGACCAGTACCAAGACAAAAAATCCACAAACAAACCATCGATTAATCCGCCACCCGACACAGCGCCCGCGACAGGAATGGCCGACCGACGTCAGCTTTCGTGCATTTCTGGATGTTATTAAGTCTGGCTGCTAGACGCTGCCAAGTATTGCTGTCGTCACAAAAGCATTCCATGACGCCATCCAATGAGGATGTAATGGGGCGCAATTTTACAAACCTTGAAATTTTGTTATTTAGCGTTGTTTTTGAACCTTGAAAGCTTACTATTAATTATAAGTAAGTTTTTCCCATCACGTCTGATGCTTATCTCAATGCCTTTAAAGGTTCTTGAAAATCGCAAGATCAGTTCAAAAGCCTGTACACATGTGAAACGCTCCTCTTCGGATCCCTCTGTACACATCCGTTTAGTCACTGAATAACAAAGGCATTGATGAATGGAAACCTCTGATTCTTTAAACAACCACAGGCTAAGCATGAGAAGCTGTGCACCCAATGCCTTTTCGCCGTAGTTTCACCTTTCGTTCGGAGTTGGGAATGGTGCCTAAGGCCGTTGCGGGCCTGAGCTGAATCGCGTGCAATTTACGTCCGCACTCCAGGTGGTCTCTGGTTGTTCAGTCGATATACCTCATGGTGCTCATGGACGTGGACATGGACGTGCTCATGCCACCATGAATACAAACAATGCTGTGATGATGAATGACAATATGCAGGGAGCTAGAATCGCTTTTGAACTAGGGTGGGAGTGAAAAATTCCATAGCAAGAAGACCGTGAGGGAGTGAAAAAATACATTCACAAAAGACGGAACTTATGAGCTCGTGACTGATGCTTCAGCAAACAAAGACATCTATTTCAAGTTGGCATGGACGTAATATCAGGAACCTGACAAAACTATTTCGTTTCTTAACATCTTAGGCCATTAAAATGAAACAGAATACATTAACACGCGCTCGGGTGGGGGGGGGGGGGGCAAATTGACCACCCAAGGGCTTTTCCCGAAT